TTAAAAAGGCGTCGGTAAGTATTTTTGCTGTTCTGTTTTTAGATCGGTAAGTAATTTTGGCGTCGTCGTAATCATAGCAACTGGTAAATTCTACGTACTGTCATAGAAACACCCATGGTAAATAGTCAGAAATGACCGATCGCGCAAAAATTGTATTTTATTGGTTAGTCCCGGAACATTTTGACCCATTATTCAATAGGACGGATTGCATTAATTTGCAAAATATCACAGCAGTAATTTAAGTTACATGACTATACAGTACGTTCGAAATAAGAGGGTCACCTCAATATCTCTTTTATTTGGCGAAATACGAAAAATTTGTTAAATGTAATTTTATAATTATGTGAAATTACCATATTTCAAATTTATTCAAAAATTAGGATTTAAAAATTGAGGGGACTCCAGTCCAAACACCAATCGTCCAGAAGAGAGTCTTATTAGAGAATTAGAGGACTCTCAAGTTCCGATCCGGAGTTATAATCAGAACTCAAAAAAGTTTTCCAAAAAATAGACCCCAGTGTTCCTCCGGCGCTTGGAATTTACCCTATATAAATTCATTACTTACGGTAAATTTCAGAGAATTTTACCAATGTCTCGAATTAACAATTGGTATTTCAAAAAAAGTCTTTTGTTGTGATTTATTCAAAGTTTGGAATCATTGGAGTAGAGGGCTCAAAAGAACAGCAGTTAAATGTCAAAAAATTTGAAAAATCTTGAATAACTCGAAAACCTTTGATGCTGGACATAGAGAAATGTTGTATCGAACGACGTAGATTTTCATCTAGGTTTCGAAAATGCAACAAAATATTTAAAATAGAAAAGTTGCTATCGACATTCGGTAAAACCGTAAGTGAGACAATCATGATAATATTTCCTTTCGATAGGTCATGAAAAACTATGTTGATATGCAAATATTCCTCCATATAATGGTTGAATGCGTAATTTGATTAAAAAATCAGTTAGGATCTTGATTGATTAAAAATGAACAAAATTTCCACACTCTGAAAAAAACATCATTTCATAGAACTGGAACCCACCCCGGTATTTTAAATAAAAAATTCAACATCGATAAAAAACAGAATTTAATTACTTCGACACCGAAAAGGAAGCTGCTCAAAGCCGAATATAACGCAATTTCTTTACAATAAAACAGTTGAGTTAGAATATGATTGAACCAAACGTTCAGCACTCTGCTCGTCGTTAACATTTCAGTACAGGAATGTCCTCTGAATTGCATATTTGTATACCAGTTTATCGACCATAAACTTCTCTGTTTTGATTGCCTCTACCATTAAACTAATTCGATTAGTAATAAATTAAGATATCTATTTCCTCGCAAATATCAGGCACCCTAAACAATTTTTTCGTTATAAGCGGAAGCGTTCTTTTTGATGGAGGGTATCTAAGCTTGAAATTGCATTAATTCATTGCTTTAATGCTGATTAAAATTGACTTAGGCATCCGTTTCGTTTACAAATTGAATAAATTTTTACGAGGTTTTGGTTTTATTTTGTTTTGTTTTATGGTAGCGATCAGTTTACGGTGTATGCTCCGTTGAAAGCATTTTTAACCAGTTCCGATATATTTAACACACATATGAACTTTGTATTACGTTCAAGTTCAGTTCTGATTGAGACTTAACGTGCAATTAGAAGAGCTTTGGCATGGACCATTTAAAGAGATATACTTGAGAAATTTGTTAAGGCCGCTTTACATACTGCAATTCTTTGTGCAATACAGTTGCAGCAAGTTTAATTGCAAAAATACTGTACATGCAATAATTATTGCACTTTGGTTTTACACGCGGCAATTTTCTTTTTGCAATAGTTTGTTACCAACATTCGCATTTAAAATTGAACTAAAAGCTTTATTCTATTCAAAATTCATCAGGTGTTGTTATAATTCTGAATGCGTTTTGAGTAAAAATGAATAGACACTTTAATCGAAAAAAGGCAGTCGCAGCTTCAATTTGTGTAGTAATAGTAAAACAAAGTCTAGTTTCAACGTTTGGGAATTCTAGAACCTGGCGTTGTCAATACTTTCCCCCAAAATATCACGTGCAAGTGCAATAAAAATCGCGCGCGACCGCTAACCTGCAATTGCAAGTGAATTGCCAAAATGAATCAGCTGTTTCTCAAACGCGCATGCTTCTGGGCAAGTTTTATTGCGTATTGCATGGTCTTGCATGAAGAATTGCAGTATGTAAAGCGGCCTTTAGATTGACACTAGTCATAAGTGCCGGCATAGTGTAAGGACTTGCACCATGATGTTATGCACAAAGGCTGATTTTTAATTATGGAGTCCTACATTTTTGACAAAGGTTGCATTTCTTAACAAAATGTTGAACATGTCTTTGTAATCCAAAAATAAAAACGTTTTATATTATTTACCATTCGGTAATGGAAATGGAAATCCAGCGATCCTAGTTCTTCTGGTGTATTTAATAGCGTTTCCATCCGCTTCTTCTTTGTCCTCTGTTGGCAAGACGACATTTAGCATTTACTTCGTTTACCAATGCAAGTAATTCATTACTTCCCTTTGTTGAACCAGGTATGGGCTGTTGGGATTATAGTTTAATTCTCCCGGAGTCTGTGATGACGGTTCCAATTCACTTGCTTGCTGGTTTTTGTCTTCCGTAGGCACAAAAATAATATTCCTTACAGGAATTATAGTAACGTCATCCATTGGCACAATATTGTCAAGAAAATTAAGTTTTTCGAGATGTTGTTCCTGGGAAGATTCCTCGAGTATATTATGTTCCTCTGGCTGGCCCATTTCAGTTATGGCAACAGATGAATTGGAATTACGTAAGGTTCCAATCTCTTGAAGAAGAACATCCACATTGATAAAATAGCTAACCAATTTGTCACGAATTTCTTTTACGGCTCTTTCAAATGCTCGGATATCAATTTCTAAAATTTTCTCTGGACGAGTTTGTTGAATAATTGTATTTCGTTGAGTTTCCAAAATGTTTCTTACACATTTTGAATAGTCAATACTATCAGGGTTGAGGGGGAAAAGGCCACATTTCCTGAAACCTTTAATTATGTGGTTTATCATATTGACATTCCCAAGATATTCCTGAAAAGCTTTGCAAAAATTTATTTTAGTGATCGAACAATGGACATTTTCGTGGCGACTCTGCCATTGCTGTACGGTCTTTTTCCATTCGGTTTCAAGTGGCTTAAACACACTAACATCCGCCGGCTGGAGAATGTGCGTTGTATTAGGGGGAAGGGCGTAAAGAATAATGCCGCTTTGTTCACAAAACTCGCTCAGGGGCATTGTCATGTGCGATTTATGACCATCGATAGAAAGAATAACTGGCTTCTTGATGTTGTTTTCAACCAACCATTTGTTGAAATCATTTGCTAAAACAATCAATGACGGGCATATCTTTCCGCTAGCAGTGAAAACTATTAAAACAGTTATATTTTCTTTGTCTTGACCACTTTTAATCTGGTTAGGTTTTTCCAACTCCTCGGAGCTAATACCTTTCCTGTTTTTGGACACATAGGGAATCCAGACTCGCCTCCGTTTAATATACGGTCGGGGTCATCTAAAATATCCAAATAATTGTTATCACAGAGAAAAGTTTGTAGTTCTCTGAACCACAACCTAATGCTTTCTTCTTTTGTTTAAACAGCAGTGACCTGGCCAAAAGAGGCAAGCCAACAGATTAGACGTAAGTAAGTACGATAGATACACTATTTCATACGGTTTATGCAAGTTGCATGATTATAATTATATTGGACCAAAAGTAAACCTTTTTAGGAGAGGTGCCATTCCTAAAAGTGCATTTTTTTAGATTTTGGCATTTTACAAGAAAACTACATCCTTTATAAAAAAGGTGTAGTTACTTTTCTTTGTTGAGTATAAAATTCTCTAACCAGTAAAACAGAACTCTTAAAACTGCATTTTTTGTTAGAATTGCACTGGAAAACTATGCTGTTGAAGCCGTTGAATAAATTTCAGTTAAAATAGTTTTATTTATATTTGTGTAGATGGAGTATGCATACGTTGATTTAATTTTTAGTTTGGGAAATTGTGATACATTACTGATAACATTTTTCAATTCAATAGTTATTGTTGGTAAAGTTCTATTGCGTGTGAGGTGTTTTTTGGTCTTTTGGCGTCGTCATTGGTAGTGTTGGGCATTCGATTATCTGTCAATCAATTAAATCTTCTCCATCCTGTTTTCTTCCTTTCCCTCGCCATAGTCTCCTTGTACCAGAAAAGACAAAAGAAAAAAAATAGCAATTGAACGACAGGTAAGTGATATATTTTTGCCTATTTCAATTAACTAAAACATTTGGTCCAAATCGAACCGGATTTTCTTTTTTATATAGTATTAGATATTCTCACACGCAATATTTCATAGTAAATTTCATTGGGTTAGATTCGAGATAACGTTTCTCTGCAATTGAAGATAACATTCAGTTTCTTCAATCTGGTTTGCCTATTCCATTTATGTTATAGAATTTGTTTTGATACGCGTCAATTTATAGTTTTGAGCTTGACATTCTATCTGGTATAGATTGGTGTTTTTGTGGTTAACGATGGCTACACAAAAAGAACAGCGCTTAAAGATTTTGAACGCAAAAAAGGAGCAATATTTCGCTGGTCTTCAACGCTTGTATGATAATAGTAGGGACATTTCAACGACTGAGAAAGTTGCATATTTTAAGATGAGGTACGCATCATTATCAGAAACCAAATCCAAATTATTAGCAGTGGTAGACGAGATCAATCTTTTGCAATGCGAGTTAGATGAAGAATTCGTTCCTAACTTTAAACTTATAGAAACCATTGACGATTTAGTTTGTCGTATTGAATATGTAGCAATCAAGGTTATCGATAGTTACAGTACCCGTCCTACACCCGTTTCCACGGTGCGTCAAGACCGTAAATCAATTCGCAAATTACCCGAAATGCCTTTGCCTAAATTTAGTGGTGATAGTAAAGAATGGCCTAGGTTTATAGAATGTTATAATAGTATGATCCATAATAATCCCGATTTAAGTGACGTTAATCGCGTTCATTATTTGCTTGGTTGTCTAACAGATAACGCCCTTTCGGTATGTTCAGGTATCGCACCTACAGGAGAAAACTATAGAATAATTCTCAATGCACTTATAGATAAATACGAAGATAAGCGTTCTATAGCTAATTCTCTTTTAGACCAATTACTTACGTTCAAGCAGAGTTCAACAGAAAATGTACAGTCATTAGATTCGTTTCTAGAAAAATTTGATCCAGCCGTAACTGCACTTCGCAAAATTGATATACCAGACCTAGCAGATTATATTTTCGCCTACTTAGCCCTGCAAAAACTTAATCCAGAAACACAACGCTTGTTAGAAAATACCCGTAGAAATGTTGAAATGCCCTCTTATAATGATATCATCATTTTTATAAAGGAGCAGGCAAAAATTTGTTCAAGAACTAGTAGTGTAGAAACAAAAACGTTTAATAGCCATGCAAAGGGTTGTGGCGACCATGACAATATAGGTGGTTGTCTAGGTAAAATAATAAATAATTAATATTTGACATTACGTTATATTTTCAAATCGCTAATAGTTCTTTTACTGTATTTTGTAATAAAACGCTACAGGGTAATTCCACCCCGAGCAACAGATATAAGCCAACCCATACGTTTATCGCCCGGAAAAATTCGCCCTCAAAGTGCGCATTTTGTAAGAGTAGTGCTCATGGTCTTACAGCTTGTCCGAAGTTTTTAGAAAAGACTCCCGAAGAACGCTACAAAATTACACGCAGTAATAATTTATGTTTAAATTGCTTAGCCTTTCATAAAATTATTAATTGCAAAAGCAATTATAGTTGTAGAATTTGCAATCTCAAGCATCATACCTTGCTACATTTTCAACGACAAGTAGAGTCGAAACCTTCCGATAGTAAATTAGAAATTGCGATAACAGACAGTTCGCTTCGCAACACTCATTCTCCCATTAGTAGTGGAACTTCCTCTGATAGTGCCAATTCTTCTTCCTTAAACTGTTATTCAATCACCCCTAATAACGATATTTGTAATAGTACGGTGTTACTCTCTACGGCCAAAGTTAACGTATTAGACGTCTTTGGGAATTTGCACGAAGGTAGATTTTTAATGGATAGTGGCAGTCACGCCAATTTCTTAACTTTAGAATTTAGTCGTCGTTTAAAATTACGCCCCTCTATTTGTCAGACTACAGTTCTCGAAATTGGGTCTAATCGAAGCTTCGTACATGGCCGGGCCAGCACAGTTTGCATTTCCAAAATTAATGCAGCCCAACGGTTTACGCTGGACGTGCTCGTCGTCGACAAAATTGCTGATCAACTACCCACATCTCAGGTCGATCTAAGTGTTCTGACCTATATAAAGAAGGTTCCATTAGCAGACGATGAGTTTCATGTTCCAGGCAAAGTTGATGGAATCATTGGGGCTCATTTATTTGCCCAATTGCTCGGTAGTCAACGCATTACTGGTCCTCCGAATACCCCGTTAGCCATAGAAACAAAACTTGGATATGTACTAATGGGATGCGCACCTGTGGTTTCCCCAATTGATAATTTACATAGTTTTTTCCTTACTACGGATTCCTCGCTTGAAACATTATTAAAGCGATTTTGGGAGCTTGAAGATGTACCCGCTTTAACATTTGAAAATCCGGAAGATATAGAGTGTGAAAACTTCTTTAAATCAACTTATAAACGGGAAGCGAACGGTCGCTACACCGTAGCTTTGCCCTTTCAAATAGATAGTTCCTTTTTAGGTGATTCGTACGCCACTACCCACCGTAGATTTTTATCCCTTGAAAAAAGATTGGAAAAGGATGAGACTCTTAGGATACAGTACTCGAGTATTATTCAAGATTATCTAACACAAGGTCATATGTCTAAAGTAATGGAACATTCACCCATAGAGCCAAACTATTTTATACCTCATCACGCCATCTTTAAACCTGGGTCTAGCACAACGCCCGTCCGTATTGTTTTCGACGCTTCGTGTAAAACGACGTCGCTTTATTCCTTAAATGATATTTTATTCACTGGGCCTAAAGTTCAATCGGACATCTGTACAATGTTGCTAAATTTTAGGCTGTTTCAAGTTGCTCTCTCTGCTGACATTCGGCAAATGTACCGACAAATTGACATTCGCACGGATCATCGGAATTTCCAGAAGATACTTTGGAGGTTTTCGCCACTGGAACCAATAGAAGTTTATAGATTAAATACGGTAACCTTTGGAGTTAAATGCTCCCCCTTTTTAGCCCTTAGAACTCTGCGTCAGCTCGCAAATGATGAAGAATCGTCTTTTCCACTAGCGTCCCAAATAGTGCGAAGAGATATGTACGTGGACGATCTTGTGACGAGCATACCTTCACCAAGCGTAGCCATAAAATTATATTCGGAGTTAAAGGAATTATTCAGTAGAGGTGGATTTCAATTACTAAAGTGGGCCACAAATTCTTCAGCTTTGCGCGAATATATTCCTACAGAAGATAGTATTACTAGTCCCATATACTTTGAGAATGATAGCCTTAAGGTTTTAGGTTTAGAGTGGAATCCCACCTCCGACTTTTTGTCATTCTCTTTCACCATAATGAGTCGAGCGTGTACAAAACGGAATATCCTGTCCACAATTGCAAGATGTTATGACCCTCTAGGATTCCTTGAACCGGTAACTTTGTTACTGAAGCTCCTGGTCAAAGAATGTTGGACTCTACAATTAGATTGGGACACACCATGTCCTCCCAGTATAACCCAGCGATGGGATTTAATAAACTCTCAATTGCCATCTTAGAATTTAAGATACCTCGTTATATCGGCGTTACTTTGAATCAGCCTGTAGTCATAGTTGGGTTTGCAGATGCGTGTTTAACCTCATATGGGGCAGTAGTATATCTTGTTAGTATGGGAGATAGAACTCAAGGACATCATCTCGTTGCTAAGACAAAGGTGTCCCCTGTAAAGGTTGTTACCATACCGAAACTAGAACTTTGTGCAGCCCATCTGCTTGCTAAGCTTCTCCATTTTATAGTAGATATAGTTACCAATCTCGTTTAGATATTCGCAAACTTTACGCTTTGTCTGACTCTTCAGTCGCCCTTAGCTGGATTGCTACTTGTCCCTCGAAATTGCCAATTTTCATAGCAAATAGGGTTGTTCAAATTCGTTCTCAACTAGACCTCTCCTCGTGGTATCATGTAAACGGTAAAGATAATATAAGTGATTGTCTATCTAGAGGTTTGACTCCTTACCAATTCATCAATAATCGATGTTGGGCGAGTGGTCCGGAATGGCTAAAAATGGATGTTTCGAAATGGCCCATTCGTACAGTCCACGCAAAAGAAAATCAATCAGAAATGAAACTGTCCCTGGTGGCTTCTCAAGGCCAGGAAAATCCATTTTATTCTTTAATAGCACGTTGCTCGAAATGGATGTAATTGTTACGTATAGTAGTTTACATTCTTAGATTTCTTCGACAATTACCTAATAAAAATAGTATATCCGTCTTAGATTTACGTACTGCAGAATTAGCGCTGATCAAATTGATACAACGCAAGCATTTCTCATCTGAATTCGCTTTGCTCACAAAGGGGATTCTACCACCTTCCTTACGACACTTGCGACCGTTTTTGAATGACAATCTTATTAGAGTGGGTGGTAGGCTTAGTAATTCAGACTCTGAGTTTGATGTGCAACACCCTATTTTACTTCCCAAAAGAGAGCACTTAGTAGATCTTCTCATCGATCATTATCACCAGTTGAACTTACATACGGGACCTCATTTAGTGCTATCTTTGCTACGACAGCGATATTGGATACTTGCCGCTCGTGGTATTATTAGACGCAGAATTCAAAATTGTAACACCTGTTTTCGTTTAAAACCCAAACCCCAAATTCCCATTATGGGAGACTTACCTGCCTGTAGGGTGCGACAAGCAAAGGCTTTTCTTCATACCGGTTGTGATTATGCTGGCCCAATTTCGATCATTCCCTATCGACGAAGAGGTGTACGCCCAATTAAAGCCTACATCTGTTTATTTGTCTGTATGGCAACGAAGGCAGTCCACTTGGAATTAGTCACTAGCTTATCTACAGATCATTTTCTTCAAGCATTTAAGCGGTTTCTTAGTAGAAGAGGAGTCGTTATTGAAATTCACTCCGACAATGGGACCAATTTTATAGGCGCTAGGGCTTGTTTAAACGAACTATACAAATTCATCTTATCTCCAGAATATAATGATGCTGTCCGAAATGAATTAGCTAAACGGGAAATTCAGTGGAAATTGATACCGCCCTCAGCACCACATATGGGTGGACTGTCAGTGGGAAGCAAACGTGAGATCCGTAAAAACCCATTTAAATAAAATCGTACACAATCAGCTACTAACGTATGAGGAATTCAATACTCTATTAGTCCAAATTGAATGTGTACTGAACTCTCGGCCTCTATGCGTTCTTAGTTCTGATCCGTCTGAACCCACCATTTTGACTCCAGCGCATTTTTTAACCTTAGGCCCTTTGACGCATTTTCCGGCATACGACTATAGTAATATTAATATTAGCAGATTAGATCGGTTTCAACTCATCGATCGGATGATACACGATTTTTGGAAAAGGTGGAAATTAGAATACCTCACAACTCTACAGGTACGATCGCAATGGAACACAGAACATAACCCCGTGCAAATTGGAACCATTGTTGTAGTAGAACAGCCAAATACTCCACCATTGCAATGGCCCTTAGGGATTATAGAAAAGGTGTATCCTGGAAAAGATCAAGTCGTACGAGTTGTAGACGTCCGTACCAAATATGGTACTTATCGCAGACCAGTTATTAAGGTTTGCCCCTTGCCTTCACAATAGTTTTTTTTATTTTTTTTATTAGTTAACGTTAAATTTAATTGGATATTAATTTTGGATATTTCATTAATTTGTCTCATGAACTTTAGGGTTATTTTGTGTAGCTTTCTGAAGCCTGAATGCATCCTTCATCCCGGGGGGAATGTTGAAGCCGTTGAATACATTTCAGTTAAAATAGTTTTATTTATATTTGTGTAGATGGAGTATGCATACGTTGATTTAATTTTTAGTTTGGGAAATTGTGATACATTACTGATAACATTTTTCAATTCAATAGTTATTGTTGGTAAAGTTCTATTGCGTGTGAGGTGTTTTTTGGTCTTTTGGCGTCGTCATTGGTAGTGTTGGGCATTCGATTATCTGTCAATCAATTAAATCTTCTCCATCCTGTTTTCTTCCTTTCCCTCGCCATAGTCTCCTTGTACCAGAAAAGAAAAAAGAAAAAAAATAGCAATTGAACGACAGGTAAGTGATATATTTTTGCCTATTTCAATTAACTAAAACACTATGCCATTTAGCGAAATATGTATACAAAATCTCTAAAAATCTCACTTAAAATCCAAATTTAGGAACTAGATATTTGAAATTTACATTTATGTTATCAAATCTGTGCAAAGATACTATACCATTTTTTTCCCGAGAACCCCACAGTTGAACTAAGTATATTTTGAAGGACTAACTATACCCTATCTAACGCCTCCTCGACGGATTTTGCCTTAGGCCTCCTAAAGTCTAGCGGCGCCGCTGAATGCACGAAACACTCCAATAAAAAAATGTACGAAAATTGACAATATGATTAAGGCTCTAATTTTAAGACATCACGTTTTTCGAGTAACAACTTGATTTGATTTCCTTCGTTATGATTAAGTAGAAACGCTTCTATACGTGAATGCGTTCTTACATAAAATAGCCCTCAATAAATAGCTAACATTTGAAAATGTAATTGGTACACGAATGCTTTAATCGGAGCCATCGACCACCTTAATAAATATTGGTTAGTGTCGAACTGAACTCTTACTTCTAACGGATCAAAATAAATTTAATTCCCAGCACAGTCTAAATCTAAACCTAAATTTAGAATGTAGGGTCAAATAATGTTTACGCAATTATCCTTGAAAAGGATACTGGCAACTAGATATGATAAACGCATGTAAAATTGTATAATCAGTGCAAGCTGTCCAAGTGAACCGAATATACGTAAAAACCTGAAACAAGATTATTGTAGTAAAGTAATATGTCTTTTATCCTTAGATGTTATTGTTATTATAAACTAAACCTAAACACATTTCCTGCATACTCACTATGACATCAGCTTTAGCAGACAACAAAAAACAATCCTATGTATGAAGATAGGTTCCTACTTCATGCTGACATTATGTTATCCAATGTTCAAACTATTCTCAATAATGACATCGAAAATAAAAAGCATTGTTTAATCAATTTCATTGGTGGAAACAACACAATATCAGACAAAGTGAGACGAGTAGATGGGGCTAAACTGAAATAAATGAAGCAAAATCGCAGAGCAATAATCAACATGGAGATATAGAGGCTAAAACATTAAAAAAAGATGAAGACCGACACGAAGAAAAATCCTAGTGCCACGCAAAAAGAGCAAGTGCTCACGTATATGGCAATGGATGTATATAGTGTTTAAAAAAAGGCAATGAATGAGCGCTGTACTAAAGTAACACCATAAACTGTTTCCCGCACGGTAGATATTTCATTACAGCGTCTTGCTACTAAAACTTAAAAAAATATGGCCTAAAGGAGATGGTACCTACTGCGACCGATGCAATCCTACCTTTCTAAAAGGGTTCAAGCAGCGAAAAGTGGCGGCCCAGTATCCAACATACCTAATTTAAACCAGGGAATCCCACAAGGTTCCATCCTAGGGCTGACGATATTACCCTGGATGTGTAACAGTTTAATTTTCTCGAATACATATGTATAAATTATTATTGGTTGAGTGTCACTGTAAATTTTTGGTTGAGAACGATTGCTACTGTAGCTAGTTTATTAACGAGGATTGGTGGATCATTATCGGATTATTGCAACCGTTCCGCATTTAGTTATCTTTTCCTTGTGACTTCACTTACATTAGCAATTGGCAACGTTTAATGGCCGTTTGCACCGACAAATTTAAGGGGAGCTTAGCTTAAGCGTAGCTTAAAATCCATGGCAACGATTATTAAGACAATACTTACCATGGCTTTTCTGCTGCGCTTAAGCTAAGCTTCGCTTAAATTTGTTGGTTTGAACGGCCATAACAGTTTTCGTATCCACCACAAATGTTTAAAATATTAATTCTGGCGATTAACCGGGGATTTTGCATAAGGAATTTTCGTTTGAAATCATTTTTATATTTCTGAAGAGGCCGACTTTCAAGGATGTATCCCTTGAACAAATTAGTGTATTCGTATACTGAGGCACTATATGTACTGCACTATATGAGTATTTATTTGAGACTTATCAAATCAGAGCATCAAGTTTTTGAGTTTCAGATTAAGGTGAGGCAAAGAACCAACGTTCCGCAAGGCCAGTTTAATCGAAGGTTTATTTATTACTGAGCTAGCCTTGGTATTAATTATTTCATTGAAAAATATCTATTGTTTAGTACCACAAAAATTTTAGCGGTGCCGTAGAGATTAGATCTGATTTTAGTAGTGCAGTGTTCAATCCGTGTAAGTGTAACTATCCAGTTACATGGGACAAGGGACTATAGAATGATGCGGGCAGATCTAAGGAATCTTTTTGATGTTGCCAAAGTACAGGTAAATGGGAGACGTATCGTACGACATCAAAAAGTTATGCACACCGAAAAGGATAGGCTGGTCTAGATTGGACTCGGAGCAATGTAAAACTGTCTATTATGATTAGAATATTATTAGAATTTTTGTCATTATTGTCATCTTATCTGAGAAAATATCTATGAAAAATTATCAAAACCTGAGCTAATACAGTTTAAAAACATTCTCAAATTATCTTGAAAAATCCATAAGTAAGCCCTTATTTATAAATATAATGGTAACATCAAAGTATTAGTCACATTTTTTTAACGTTAAGCGACAAATTTATACACTTTCGTTAGTGTATTTTGTTTATTTTATCTCTCCAGTAAAATGGAGAATTTTGGTGTGTTTTGTGAATTAGGTCGGAGGCATAATACTATACTAAGACGTTCAAATAAAAACAGTTTTTGTTTATTAAATTAACAAGCCTAGGGAGGCAAGAACGAATAAAGAAATAGATGAATTGACCTATTGTGTCTACTACATCTAACTAATAGCAAAGGGCTGGAAACAGGATAAGAGAAATGACGATACTAAAACATCAGAAAAGTGAACCTTTGCGCAATCGGTGACTTGATCGCTTTTGTTAGAGAGGGCAGCTACGCTAAATATTAATCAAAAATTAAATATCAGGCCTGTAAAAGTGTAAGGGATTAACGTGTATGACAGTGCAATATTTAAAGTACCTACACCGGAATTAAATCGGGATTAAGAGTTTTGCATATTAATTACCATTAACTTTTCGTGCCATCGACGTTTTCAAAATGCGTCAATTTTTTCGTATTTGCCATTCCATTAGAGTTTAAAATAAATTAAGGTCGAGCGTTACGAAATTATGTCGGCAATTTTGTAAAACTTCAATATAGATGCCAAGAGATAAGCTGAACGCTAGTTCATTGACAAACTTAATATGGTCTTGAAAAATTCAGCTCGACGACATAACCGAGGACGGATTCATAAAGGCTCCCCTTTATTTCTGATGCTCTAGAGCGCTCTTTCACTAAAAACAATCTCGCAACAGAATAATGATCAACTCTGCTTATGTGACAAGCAAACAAACTGACATATTTACAAGTCAAGTGGGTACGAACTACACTCTACTAAATTATGTCATACGCCAACCAATACTCGGTCGCCAAAATTATATACATAGCGACCCAAACCTGGAGTTGATAGATACGAAACAATCTCCGTTGCCAAGACCTTCTTCCTGTCAAAAGCTCGGACATTGACTAAATACGGTCATTTATTACGAAAACGAATCCCTTATCTTTTATCCTTAAAACGCAGCCCATCTCTCTTACGGGCGCGCGATTCTACGTAAACTGAAATAGTGGCGCGTAAACTACGACACAAGAAAATAAAGTGCGCCCACCAGAATCTTTGTTCATTTTCGATCGAAAGTGTTTGTAATAAAAAACACCCTTATTGTTTTTATACCTTGACCTAATTGGGATCATATTGATTAGTAGATGTACGGTTCTGATGTAACGTTAAATTACGGTTGCGTTTTCGGATACCGCACATCGCCTCCTATTTTACACATCAAAAGGGATTGCGACCTAGGAAACCCAACACAATTTGAATGGTGTCTCTCTCTCTCTGTACCGACCTCACATTTATACAGAAACTTGTAAAATAGCTAGAAAAATTTCGAATTGTGTGTTAATGCGTGCCTTCAGCTCGTGTACATTCTTGTGCTGCTTGTTTTTAGATTTATTTAATTATTTAAACAATTAAAGAAATATCTTGGTAATGTTGGAACCTCTTTGTCACAATCATATGTTGGTAGCACTTCTGTTGACCGCCATTTTCTTTTGAATTACAAATATATTTATCATTATTTAAGAACAATTTGCAGTAGCAACCATGCAACGAGAACAGACAGTCGAGTATGCAACATTTGGCCAACGTTTGCCAATTTAAATCGCGGAATTACCGCCCCCGAATCCAAATTCGAAGTGCTGTAGTTATTTGAATTCCGGAAAAACCGCGAAAATAAACTGTTTTCGTCAAATACGCATTTGTTCGTTTAGGGTGTTGAATATACATTACCCAAAGGAATATGTAACCCCGCAGATTTATAGTGAAGGCAGCAGGGTCGAAAAAAGCAAGGTAGTCGCGCGTTTCGGTAATCTTATTCAGAGGATCTAATGAAAAGCGTTTGATAAACCGTAGAGATAGTTTCCATGCAGTCGATATAAATCAAAA